TATATATACCCTATGTATGCTGTAAACCTGGCACACATTACTCAATATATAAATATACGGTATATCGTATGCTTTTTTTAAATACTTATTTCTAGTAGTTTTAAAATACTTTTCCCCTTGTATTTTAGTCTTACACTTTTATACATTCCGTTACTTTGGGTGTTGTGATTTTGAGAACCATTGCTTGTACTAGTGGATACCTGAATTTCCCTCAGGATCAATAATCTATCTATCTATCTATCTTGTTATGTGACTTCAGTGTTGCAGATATTTAGTATGTTTTATTACTGCATGTGACAGATGGCCAAAATCTAAGTTAAGAGCAAAAAAATTAAAATCCATTTTATCATTTTAGTGACTTGTGAGGGTAGGAAAATAATAAAACAATACAGTACATATGATGTCTCTGGAATCAGACACATTCTCCTATCAAGAGAAAGACAGTGGTTTGAATATTATAAGCTGAGACCAGAGTCTGTCAGGAGAAAACTGAACACAATGAGAGTGAACTTTGAAAGTGAACACCTCCCTTGGATTACCTTTTTGAAGCACACCTGGACCCACCAACACTGGGGCCCCTTCCACAACTACTGACATCTCATATTACGTCCTCTGGCCAGGGCTCACACACACACACACACACACACACACACAAAGCTATTTTCATTCCTTGTGGGTACTTTACATAGACTTACATTCATTTCCTGTAGACTTGTCCTAACCTTAACCATAACTACTACTTGCCTAACCCTAACCTCACCCTAACCTTAAACCATGTTGTCACCCTAAAATTTAGTGATTGGTCCCCACAAGGATGGCCAAGTCCCCACAGTGTGAGCATGTTTCGGTCCCCATAATGAAGGCACATGTAAAAACACATGCTCATTAAGCAGGTAGATATACACAAAATGGGGGTTTTCATTGTCTCATGGCTGTTACAGCACTGCTGGACAGGAGAGGACATCAATTACTCCTTACTGACTGCAATCAATACACACTTATGAAGAAGGGCAGGGGATCTAATACGGCCTGCACCATGTGTATGTGTCTTTATGTTTTAACCATGAGTATATGTCCTACTAAGAAATAAGATCATAATGGTGAATAAGAGATGGCACATAGGGGGTTGTAAATTAGACGTTTGTCCCCACAATGCCATTTTATTGCAACCTGATAGCGCTCAGCTTTTTTGTTTTGTTTTGTTTTGCAGCACATGATGCACACAACATCCTCAGCACACATACAGTATATGCTTCATATTCATGAAGAAACATCCTCTAAGCTGAACCCGCACTTGCCCCTCAGTATCATAAAAGACAGCTTTTCTGGAATTAAAACTTTATGATTTTCATGGGTATCAAAAAGTCATGTGATGTTAAGGCTGCATAAAATGCATTGGACTCTGTCTCCTCCTCAGGAATCCTCTTTTAAATTGTGTAATATTGGCTATGACAAAAGGAATATTGGAGATGACAAAAGGAAACTTTTCTGTCAGGAATGAATTTCATCTTAAAGGACAAGTCTGACTGAGTTAACTAAGAAGACTGAGACCTCTCTCATGTCTGTATGGTAAACAAGAAGCTTTATCTAGGAGCTGGTTAGCTTAGCATTAAGAGGCTGGAAACAGCCAGCCAGGGGAAAACAAATCTGTCAACCCTACCCCTTGTGTTCGCTAATAAATGCGTATCTTATTTGCTTAATCTGTAAAAAAAGACGTGGATTCTATCGAGGCTGTGGTAGGTAGGTATCGTTAACTTTGAACACAGCTAGGCTAGCTGTTTTTGGCCTTTATGCTAAGATAAGATAACTGTCAGAAAACAAGAAGAAAGCAAATAAGTGTGTTTCAAAAATGTTGACCTATTCCTTTAAGACATGCTACAGCTGTATTTTATAAGTGCTCAGTCAGCAGCTCTGGTTAATCTCCGGTCTGTCTTGTCTTGTCTTGTTGAAGGTGCTTATAGTTTTTTGTTCACAGCCACTTCATCCATTTCTCTGATCTGAATCACAACCAACCATAAATTAGTTCTGATATGAGCTGCTGGCAACATACAGAATTTACAAGTTGACATAACCAACAACACTCAAGGAGAGTATGGTGCATTAATGTGTTGCAGTTGTGAAAGATCTTGGGTTTGGAGTTCAGTGTGATTATGAAACTGACTGTACATGTGCGTATACTTTCATCTGTATCCCAAGGCTACATGTTTCTACAGTGCCATAAACGCACACCCTACCATTCAGCTTGCTGCGCCACACCCACAGGTGAGTGTGTGTTTGTGTTCCCTTTGTGTACCTGGAGCTGCAACTTTAAGAACAAATCCAGGGCTGTGGCTCGGGCGAGTCCAGGCACTGCGTTTTTGACAGACGTATGTGTCAGAGGATGTTGCTTTCACTGTCATCGCTCTGCTTTAGGGAAGGTTTTTGATCCTCTGCTGTCATAACACTGAACATGCTGTACAGGGACTAGAGAAACATGACTCAGTTGTTAATTCTGAGAATTGATCATTTAAAAAAATATAAAGCATATGTATGCCTACTGTATGTAACATTTTACCAGGAAATTGTCTGATTATTTTGTTACAGATTAAGCACAATCATTAAATCTTTGTCATTTTGAAATAAACTGTGACTATTAGAAGCTAATGGGTATGTAACTAATACTTTATTAAGGCTATGTGCCATTTAGATCCTCTCACAGTAAATCAGCAATGATTCATTAATATAGTGATCAATAAGCCCGGTATCAGTATTATATAAAGAAATACTATATATCCCAGTAGTATTATATATAGATATATGACATTTGATACTGGTTCAGTCTGTTCTCAAGTATCTTATAAATATTTATCATATTGTTGTTGTTGTTTTTTATTTTACCTTTTGTTAATCGACAGTTAGTTCCTAATGTTATACTTGGTAAATAGGCAGGATTTTGTGCATTTTGTCACAAAGTGGTACTATAGAACTATGACTGAATGATGCAGACTGATGCTCAGCTGTAGCAGCAGTGGCCTTTCAGCCTGTTTATGTGTAGACAAGATGTGAGGCCATTATTTCCCTGGATGATAGTAGAGGAGAAGAAGAAAACAGAGGGTACTGATGCTGACAGACTGTGGTGTGTGAGATTAATAAAAAAAAAAAAAAAAAATAATTAAGAACAGGGTGGTGCAGTGGATAGCACTGTCGCTTCACAGCCAGGCGGTTCTGGGTTCTAACCCAGCAGCCGACCTTGGCGTCTCTGTGGGGTTTGCATGTTCTCCATGTGATTGTTTGGGTTTTCTCTGACTACTGCGGCTAAGGTCCAAAGACATGCAGGTTAGATTGACTAGTGACTCTAAGTTCCCATATCTACAGTACATGATAGACTGGTGACCTGTCCTGGGTCTACCCTACCTCTTGCCCAATGGGTAACCAGTAGTCAAGAGAGGGATGAATGAGCGAGAGAGAGGAGAGCTGTGACTGGATGTCAGACACAGGAAGCGTCATATGTAGGATCTTCTACAGAAACTGTGTCAGCATTTTACCACACAACAGATATTTACAAGCTAACATAAGTTAAGCTAACAGAGCTCACCTCACGTTACACACTGCTGTTCTTATCAGCGATAAGGCAGAGTCCTGTTTCTGACCGTCTATAGACAGAGCCATAAATCCTTAGTGATTCTCCAACTGCCTGCTGCTCTTACATTATGGAACTGGAACAACATCAGCCTAGACTGGATGGGGAAAATAAAAACAAAGATGCAAAAATAGAATTAACAGGCAGGCGGTCACATGACTTAGGGATGCCTCTACTTTCAAGGTAGTGTCATATTCTCTAGATATCTGCCAAACATGTGGCTTACCAGGAAAAAATGTCTTTTGAAAGCCTGTTTGTGTTAGGTTTTTGTGGTCATTCATTAAAAATCTTATACAAAAGATAAAGACCTAAGACTTCATAAAGATTTAAGCAGAAAACAAACCTGTTTAGGAAACACATTCATCCCCTGCCCTTTCCCTTTCTGCATTCCTCTCTTCCACCATTATTTGTGCATGTTTAATGTATGTGGGCAGCTTTTTTTCCCCCTGTCCCTTTCTGTGTGCCCTCTTTCTCTGTGTGCAGACAAAGACACAGTTGTCTGCTGAAATGCTGTGTTGCGAGGACAAGCTTTGTGTCCAAGTCTCATGGAATGCCTCGAACCCCATCTAGTCAGGGAGTTAGATAATGTGCGGGCCTGTGCCCAGTCTGGTCTGTCCTTCCTCCTGGTTCTGTGACTCATCTAGTGAGTCAGAAGACGCAGGACCTGTGGCGATCTGAGTGAGAGCACCTGGAGGATTGTAATTTCAAATTCAGCTGCTGTTTTGCAAACACACCATTATAAGCTATTGTAACTGTATAGCTTCTTCCGGTTCTTTCAAACCAGGAACTCTCAATGAGACGAAAGAGACTGCTTTAGATTTTATAAAAAATAACCGTGCTGGTTTATTCAGAGGATCACAGGTAAAATTCACAGCACACCATGTTGCTGCATATCCCTACTTCTTCTATTTCTTTGGTTTTTATCACACTAGGTCATATTATATCACTATTGTTATCTGCACAATAACAGCTTGTGCCAAGGTGGAAAATTGATATTAATGGAAAAATGACTAGTGAACCAGCAACTCTTGTCTGCACAAGGATCTTTGATGCCAGTAAACACAATTTACTGTGAGTGTGTAGCACATAAATGCAAACTGATGTTGCTTGGTATTTTGCCAATGTTTTCCCTGGTGGGCCTTAAGATATGTTTTGTTTCTCCTGTTTCCAAGGGAGTTTAACTGGAGCCTTTATTACACTGTTATACATACAGATCTAAGCCTTGAGGGAGGTTTAATTGTTGCAGATATGTCTTAACACAGCCTCAGGCACCTTTGACCCAGTTACATTACAGCACTGTTCTGCTGCAAACTAACAACAGACTAACAAGGTACTAATCACCTCTAACTAAAATGTACTTGACGATATAGGCTAGCAAGTCATTTAAGGTGTGGTAGGACGTCGTGTGTGTGCCAGGAGAAACTTTGGGCTTTTGCATAACCAAGGTTCTCAGGGGTAGCGTGAGCCCGTGTCAGTGGGAGGGGCAGTCGCGAGTAAAGTGAACAACGTTGAACTCTCAGTCAGTCACAAGCTGCACCTACGTTATTAAAGATTCACCTTTCACGTTCAAGAAGCTGTTGCATTTGGTTGTGTCATGGAGAAGAGGACCACCCGTGTACTGTGGCTGCTCGTCTTTCTCTTGGGATGTGGGCGAATGTCTGCTTTCAACCTGGACAGCGACAATGTCCTACGGAAGAACGGAGATCCAGGCAGCCTTTTCGGCTTCTCCCTGGCCATGCACCGGCAGCTTATTCCGGAGGATAAGAGGATGTAAGAGCCAAAGTTTTGTTTAAAGAGCAGCATGTCTGGAGGCCGTTTATTTATTTCTGCGTCGCCCTAGGCTCCGAGACCAGCTTTTAATGTCCTTAAAATTACTCAGGTTCCCATGTAGGCTAATTAAAATGTGTGTGTAGAATACAGTAGGTTCATTTTATGTTCTTAGAGCTGCTACATGAGATGAAAAATCCCTTTAAACCTACTTTTGTGAACCATTTGCCCAGATAATCACTGACGTGCTAAACGCTACGTAGTCTAATTAGGCTGCAGGTAGTTTCAAAGTAACGTTCATCTTCCTACTTCACCTGTTCTGAGTTTAATCCTGCGTCTACCTCTTGTTAATCATTATTAAGTGTTTTCCTTCCAAGTTACTTATTTATGAGAATTTCACAGCAGGTTTTTGTGCACGGGCACGCACAGGTGCGCGCGCGCTCCCTGACTTTCTCCGGGAGCTGTTTTAGGTGAGACCGAGACGTTTAGGGCCAAAACATCGTCTTAAAACATTGTTAGCATTTTATGGGCATTCATTCATAAGGATTCGTCATTGTACAGAAAGACTAACGGCTGGTATGAATAGCCTGAATATAAAGTGTCCTGAGATTAGAGCTAATATGGACAAGACAAAAACATTTGTTTACATACTATCGTATCGGATTCAGGGACAGATTGTTTTGTAACTCTATAATCAGTCTATAATCAGTGGTGGAGAAAGTATTCATATACTTAAATACAAGTGAGTAACATTATCAAAATATATTTAAAGTGCCAAAAGTAAAAATGTTCATTGCAGAAATATGGCCAGTGTGAGTGCCGTATTATAATATATCATTAGATTATTAACGCTGATGTAGCATCTTAGATGGTGAAGTTCGACCTTATTTCAGTTGTTATATACAGTATTGTAGTTGTGACAATCAGTTTTTTATGAGCTCATATGTTTTGAATGTAATACCATAATTACATAAATTAAAGCAAGTAATAAACATATGTTTATTAGCTGTCAAAAATATAGGGAAGAAAGGTACAAGATTTCCCTCTGATCTTGAATTGAGTTAGACATATGAAATGCAATACTCAGCTAAAGTACAGGCATTGCAGATATATACTTGAGTACCTGATGCAGTTATATTCCACTTCACACCATAATAATAATAATCATATGGCATAATATACAGTTTTGAAGGTTAAGTCATTTAAAGTACTTTGCAATACCAACTGGCCAGACATCATTCTCCTGGTATTGATAAGTGTGAAGTGCTTGTGTTGGTATTAACTGGTTTTTCCACACAGAAATGATCAATACACTGGTTTTTGTATCCAAGTAGTGGTATTTGTTCAACTAATACCTAAAGATCACCATGTTGTTTTTAGCCACCACAAGATATTTACTCGTCATAAGTGAGGCTCAGGGTTGTCAAGAACTCTGATGCCTTTAAACTCCTCAAATGCTGTTCTTAAACATTTTAGAGCTATACATTTCTAATATTGCTACACATTTATGCACACAGTGGCATTTTGTGTCCTGGTTTTAGGTGGTGCCTAAATGAAAGACATATGGTGATCAGCATGTCCAACTGCATCAGGCTGTGAAGTTAATCATTAGAAAACAAAGCACAGTTGGCTTCTGGGAAGTGGGAAACAACACCTACCATTGTAGATAATGTGGACTGAGGTGTTAGAGGTAGTTAATTAAATAGTAGATTGACAAGTTATTAATCTGCAGCTTTGATAACTGAGTCATTTTTATGCATAAATACCAAACATTTGCATCACAGTTCCATGTGAAGATATGCTGGTTTTTCATGTCTTCTGTGATAGTAAACTGAGCGCATCTGACTTTTGGACTTTTGGCCAAACAAAACAATAACATGTTTTTTCACGAGTGGTGCAGCGGTTAACGCCGCTGTCTCACCGCAAGATGGTTCTGGGGTCAAACCTCTCAGCCAGCGTGAGTTTTCTCTGGGTACTCCAGCTTCCTCCCACAGACCGTACACATCCAGGTTAGGCTGGCTGGTGACTGGAAATTCAATAAATGAAGTGTGAATGATTATTTGTCTCTGTGTGTCAGCCCTGTGATAGACAGGCAGTGTACCCCACCTCTCACCCAATGGCTAAGCAGTGGATGGGTTGTTTTTTTTTTTTTCACTGTTGTCTGATGTTTTATTATTGAACAAAATTGATTAATTGAGCAAGTAGTTGGCAGATTAATTGGTAATGGAAAAACACAGTTAAACAAGGCTTTTGCAGTATAGTCTTGTCTTAATCAGAAAGGAAACAGCTTGAACCATCAGGAGCACGTATGTGTTACGTTATGATGCACGTTTGATTGTGTGTGTCCATGTTTGAGCATGAAGCCATGTTTGTTTTGAAAGTAATTAAGTTCATACTGCTGTTACAGAGATGAAGTGTGGTCATTCTGTTGACTGTATATTTGTCTGTATGCACATGCATTCATGGAGTATGTGTGTGTGTGTGTGTGTGTGAGAACCTGGTGTGTTTTAATGGTGCATGCTGTGGCTGAGCACTGAGGCGTTGCCTTGTTGTCAGTCACTTGGAAGAGTGTCAGAGAACTCGGTGTGCTGCTTGATTTCTACCCCGAGGCAACAAAAAGAAGAGATGATAGGTAAATACAAAAATAGGTAGATTTGTGCTTTATTGTGAAGTGATTTTTTTGTTTTGTGTGAGAGTTCATTGTCTTACATGAAAGCAAAGTTTGTTACCATGTGTGTCACAATCTTTTGCCAGCCGTGCACGCTATCTTCTGTTTTCCACTGGCTTTCGTGCCCATATGGGACTGAGTGTTACATATACCTGCAGGAGAGGGCAGGGGCTGATGGGATTATGTAGAGTTGTGTGTGTGCATGTGTGTGTGTGAGAGAGAGCATTCCATGGTCGGTCATAATTGCCAGCTGGAGCTGTCTGTATAATAACATCAAGGGGGAAAGTGCAAGATGCATGGCTATGGAGAGGAGGAGGCCGAGTGAGAGTTTAGGGAAGTTTTAAGAGCTTGGATCCAGTGTGAGAAATGTGTGGGAGAAACTCAATGCATATGTCTTTCTAAGAAATAAGCTGGCTCTGTTGTGAGCTAGAGGAAAGTAAGTGTTGGTGTGTTACATAGTAATGTTATAAACTGTGTTGGAGACATGTCTGAAGTTTGATACTGAACTCAGCTTTATGTGTGAGTGTATATGGTTTCTGTATCTGATAAAGAACAAGCATGAGTGTCAGATTTAGTCTCAGGTTAGTTAAGGTTATGCACATCACAGTGAGAGAGAAAAGAACTTAAGAAAGATGATTGCTGAGAGGATTATAAATCAGTTTAACATCTGGGCACCAAATATGAGATGGTATTCGGCCTGCAGGTTCAGCCTGGCAGACAGAGAGAGAATTTTGGTAATATGACATGAACCTCTGGATCTGCAACACATCTGGTTGATAGGGTGTCACGAGCTGTTGCCTAGCAATTGGCTGTGCCCTACCTGTCAGCCAGTTTTCTGCTAAAGAAACCCAACACACCTCTCTCAATGGGATGCTCACTGTGCCTGTGCCACTGCCAGTAGGTGTGTGTCTGTTTTGTGAGTCATTACACACGTGCACAAACATACTTGCAGTCTCCTTCTGCCAGTTTGTCTTAGTCCTTCCTGTAGGCTAAGCTTGTGTATTGAGCCTTCCTCTGCTGGGGGTGAACGTTTAGATAAACAGCTGGGTCAGTGGAGCAGCAGGATGGGCTCAACACAGTGCTAGAGCCAGACACATCATGTCAGCACTTCACTCTTCAGTGGCAAAAAATAGTATGAATAAAAATAAACTGTGTCCATTGATATTACACATTTATTACACATTTATTGATATTACACATGTTTAAATCCATCTCAGAACAGCAGCACTAAGAGACTGTGGGTAACTATTTACAGTTATAACAAGCCATATTTTGTGTTTCAAATGATAGATTCATTGTACTTTGCTAATCTCCATCACGCCCCCTGAAGTCATTATACCCAATGATTTATACTGTATCAAAAAGTTAGCTTTAAATTGAAAACATACTGATCACATTAGGGGAATTTCATTCCAGCTGGTGTGTCTATGTGGGAATGCTTTGTATTCCAGCTAAAAATGGCTTTGCTTAATTGCATCTGGAGAAGACAGTGTGGTGTACAGTGTTAGGTCATCGGACAGACAAATCAAAACAGATAGAGCTCCAGGAAACACGCAGATAGAAAGAGAGATCGGTGCATTGACAATGTACAGTATATGTGCCCTTGGTAGGTCAGACCATGATTTAGCGCTGCTTACTCCACAGTATATTCCCCTTGTACAGCGGCAGCCAGTTCTCACAAGGACGGTGAGGAAGTGGACACAGGATGCTGAGTGGACTTTGCAAGACTGTTTTGAGTGCACTAATTGGGATGTACTTTGTCAGCCACATGGTGAGGATATTAACAACATGTCTGACTGTATCACTGAATATATCAAGTTCTGTGAGAACATCGTCGTTCCCTCACGGACTGTTTGCTGTTTTCCTAATAATAAACCATGGATCACTAGTGAACTGAAGGCATTACTTAACACTAAGAAGAGAGTGTTTAAGTCGGGAAATAAAGAGCAGTTGAGGATGGTTCAACATGAATTGAGGGACAAAGTTAGGGAGTGTAAGGAGTCCTACAGGAGGAAGTTGGAAGACAAACTCCAAAAAAACAACATGAGGGAAGTGTGGCTTGGGATGAAGGAGATCATTGGATCTGGGGGGTGAGGTGGACAGTCTGTTGGAGGCATAGAGAGGGCTAACGAGTTCAATACCTATTTTAATAGGTTTAGCTCTCAGCCTTCCCCTGTCTCCTCTAACCCTTCTTTGGTCCCCACACACCCTTCTCATTCTCCTCCACTGTCTCTCTCACAGTTCGCCTCTTTGCCCTTTATGGTGAACACGGCCTCTCAGCTGTCAGTTCGCCCCCCTACTGGGGATATCCATCCCCCCATCCAGCACCCTTTAT